GTGAGGGAAGGACATTCTCAAGGAAAGAGGCTGCTGCACGTTTCCTGGTGGCTGAAGAAGACAACAAAATATTAGCAGGGGAAGGATGGAATAGGAAATATTATTCAGCTGTATAGATCAATTTGACATGAGCTGGAAAACCACATCCTATCCTGTGTGTGCTATTTCGACAAGCAGAATAGAGAATTCAGTCCAAAGACAGATGATGTTTAAATAGAGATGTAACAGAAGATAAAAAAGAACATCAACAAAAGGCACTGTGGATGCCTGTGTAAGCCCTGTCCTTTCCTATGCAGGAACACTCAGATAAAACCTAAAAAACCCTAAAGGCAACAATTTCAACACTGATTAAGAAAGATTACATTATTGTACTAACCTGCAACAGCCACAGACACAAAACCCCTGTCTGCCGAGGAGGATTCCCACAACACAGTCACAGCAGATAGCTACACTGTATTCAGAAACAAATGTGCACTGGGGACATCCCCACCTCCCCAGTCCACCAAAATGAGATTCTGACTCTGCTGACAGAGGGGAGATTGAGATGAGCTCTGAGGCAGAAGCTCTTCCCTGTGAGGGTGCTGAGGCGCTGGCACAGGGTGCCCAGAGAAGCTGTGGCTGCCCCAGCCCTGGCAGTGTTCAAGGCCAGGTTGGACACAGGTGCTTGGAGCAACCTGCTCTAGTAGAAGGTGAAAGGAACTAGATGAGCTATAAGCTCCCTTCCAACCCAAACCATTCTGTCATTTTGTGATTCTACAACTCTGTGGTGGTTGTTGGGAAAAGCTCCACATCAAATCCAGGATCTAACCCAGACAGAGCAAACACACACACATTTGCTTCCTACTGCCCAGGAGAATTCTGCTGTGGAGAAGCAGAATCACCTTTTTCTCCCTTTTTGCAAAGAAAAGGGGCAGGGAAAGCCAGACGAGCTCTCCCATCATGTGCTGATTAAGACAACCCCCATCCCCACATGTGTGGTAGGTGTAAGAAGCAGCTCCAGACACTTTCCTTTCTTCCACGGTATCTCTTGTTTGGGGTATGAACACTGCTGAAACAACGATTCACACTGAAATAGCCTGGCCAGCCCCATGTCACTGCTGGGCTCAGTACTCTGGTTAGAAAGGCTGAAAGCAGGCATGTAGGGGAAGCAGAGGCAGTGGGAGGCAGCACATCCCTGGACCAGCCCCCGCAGCGCACGGACCAGTTGACAGCAAGAGGCTGCTGGAGCATTTTACTGGTGAGTGGGGCAATCCCTATGCTTGCCCCCAGCTCCTTTCAATGTAATGATCAGATACAGATGTAATCTCAGCCTCCCACCACTATCAAAGAGAAAAAGCAACAGAGTTTTTTGCTTTGAAAGTATTTCAACATCACAAAAAGAAATACTTTGGAGGATCATCATCTTGCTGCAAATCATCTTCTCGTGTGTTGTACTCAGAAGTGCTTCCTGTTCCCCCGCTCCAAACAAGCAGAGTGCTGCTTTGAGTGAAAGATGGAATACCTCTGGGAAAATCTGCCGGCTGATGGCTAAACACTTCTCACCAGACGTGAAATACCTTGGATAATAGCTTTTATAGTTTCAAAGGAACTGTGCTGTAAAAGTGCCTGGCGGCAGGAGTTAGGAGTTCCTGACACACTAACATGAGGGGTCATGATTCACCCCATGTCGCGTGGCAAATAGGACATAAAACCCCATCCATTTGTTAAAAGCCTGTATTAGGCACAGGAAGGCATTAGTGCTCTGCTGAAGTGGTTGCACTGTGTGTCCCCTGCAACTGTCAGACAGTTCTACATTAACAAGTTTCTAAAGAGTATGTAAGCACACCTAATGAAATATGCAAGCTCCAAGTATTAGTAGAGTATGGAGAAGGGAAAAAAAGCTATAGTCTTGTCAGAATGACTAACTGTACGGTCCTGCTTATATTTATCTTCCAATGTGTGCTTAACCTTTTACATTTTTAAGGACCTTACTTCGGCTAAAAGGAGCCATTTAGTTTTCTTCTGTATTTTGCAATGGCTTGGTGCAGAAAACCAGACACCAACTTTGCATAAAACATGTGAATTAAAAAGAAAAAAGGAAAAGGCATTGTAAACCTTCAGCCCAAGCTCCCCTGAGCTCTACAACACAAACTGCTCCTTGCTTCATTTACCTACAGCAGCAACACACCTGATTCTTCCAGAAATACAGTTGTCAAAATACTCTAAAGCAAGGAGACCCATTTTAGAAAACACATTTCAACATTCGCTCCCCACTGAATGTTTCTCACTGCATCATTAATAAATAAGGGTGAAGACAACATCCTCTGGATGCAGCATTTCAAGAGAGATCTGCATTACAAAGATTTACTTCCAAAGCGACACAGTTTCATTTCAAACCCTACCTTATGAATTCTGATTCAGAGAAGGACTGAAAAGCAAGTGATGGCTGTACTAAACAAAGTTTAGGCCATGATCTCAGACTTAACCTACCTGCATTTCAGGGTCCCTCTTGAAGGCAGAGTATTATTACTAATGCTGATGTTTCTCTGCAATTTGGGTGTGGACAGAGACCAAAGATGCTTTTGCCTGGCCCAGCCCAGTTTCTGAAGTGTCTCAGGACGGGCAGATGCATTGCATAAACCCCCCGAGCTGGCCATACTCGTTCAATCCTATAGGAATTCATCTCAAATACTTTTGTACATACAGCACAACACACACCCCAGCCTGGGACGGCATAGCAAATATTGGGCCACTACATGCCTTCCTCAAAGTCTTCCTCAAATTCTGACTAAGCAATGGAAAAAACCACTCAAGTTTTAACAATCTCCCCATTCAGTCTATGGGGCATTTGAAAATTGGTAATATTAAAAAGCTGCCTCAAAATAATACAAAAGGTTGTGCAATAGTGCAACAAGCCACATGCAGTAATTAGGGTGTTACCTACACGGTCTTGTCACTGCTTTGGAAAGTCTTGGGTGTATTCTGAGCAAGACAGAAGTGACATGAATTCAGTGTCAGTCCTGTTCAGTTACAGAACTGGCCTACATACTATGTGACATGAAGCAGTGCTGGCATATTGCTACCTTAAAATGGTAGGTGCTTGATTTAAGCCAAGGAGCTGCTAGTGTTACTGCTGGGCATATTTAGCTGCTTACACTGCTTAGGGTGGCAGGAGAGCAGCAGGAAAGAAAAGGCTAGAATTTTCCAGCAGCAAATCTGGAAAATCAGTTTAAAAGTCCCAACCCCTCAAAGCTAAACACATTTTCTTCTGTTCGTCATGTCTGCAGTACTTAAAGATCTCCTATTGCTCATTTGTGCTGGAGGCATATGAACATGGTTTGTGACTTACATGGTCAGCAATAGTCCGGCCCAGCTTGTCCATCCTTGACCCAGCCTCTGCAATCTTCTTGGCTGCACTAATCACATCTGACGTATTTTTCAGTGGACCTTTACCTCTGCAAAACAGAACAGAGTCTACCTTCTAGCGCCAGAAAACTGGAAGAGTGAACTATATATATTGCCTTTTCTGTTCCATACAGTATTGGAAGTGATTCCTCACCCAAACTGCATCAGTAAGGTTGCACAGAACTAGGCAGGTGTAATCATTACAGCACCTTCATTTTTAAGACAATTTCCCCCTTCCAGCACCTCCTCATATTTAGATTAAACCCAGGAATAAAAACATCTTAAAATTTTACTGTTTTAAGCACCCTAATGATGATGAGAGATAACATTTTAGAAGACAGATTTGCAGTTTTCATGGAATGCAACATCAAGTTTAAAAAATAGTGTTGTATAAAATCTGGTAAATGAATTTCAAAAGGCATCAAAAACCCTCTCTTTCTTTTTCAAATAACTGTACCAGGAACCATTTCTGCAGTACAGCAATATTGAGAGCCCATAGAATTTAATGTTGTAAAGAGCTGAGCAAATATATGTATATATATTCCTTGGGACAAGAATCACCCTTAAGAAAGAAAGAAAGACAGACAGGCAATAACTGCTGTGCATCTATAGATCAATTTAAACAGTTATTACCACCCAGTCACTGCATAGTAATGCATCTCCTGAGTTAATACAGGCTTTAATAGGGTAACATTTAAAGGAAATTATAAGAAGTAAGACTCTTAAGAGTGCTTGCAAAATACTTCATTGACAGACCAGCATCCCAGGCAGGTCTGAGAGAAGGTGAGCACACAAATGAGAAACACTCACCTGGTGAAGTCTGTCATTTCCATCATAATCATACACATTTGTTTCGCCAGAACAATTATGTCATTGCCACTGTCATCCCATTTGGATACTTCAGCATCCAATTTACTCTTTTCTTCCTGGAAGCTTGCAACTTGCTCAGCAATCTTCGCTTTTTGCTCTTGAGGGAGCTGAGCCATGATCGCCTGGAAGAGAGAGTTTTCTCACATTGCCATTGAAGAAGGCTTTTTGGAACATTTCACTAATAACCAATTTAAGTCATGTGGATGAGGGATAAAACTTTAATAGCAATCCTCTACCTAGAGGCTTCACAGAACCATTTCTTTCCATTTTGAATCAAAGTTTATGCTTTTTCTTAAGAAACAATGCCCAGAGAGACAAGCTGACGCCTGAAATGTGGGCATTTGCAGGATAAAACTGTAACACTCCAAACAAGTTTGCCACATATTATCATCCCTCAAAGAAAATCTGCATGAAGAGGGGGGCTTGCCTTTTCTATAAAATTGAAGTTTTAAAAGGAAGTTTCACTTGGGTATCTTTCAGTGTTGCAATGCACAGAAATATTAGGTGTCTCTTCCCTGAAAAAAGCTAGATGTACTGTTTTGAAACACGCGTACTGAGGAAAGAGTAAGTGAAAATAAAGAGTATGCGCTTACTCCTGAATAAAATCTATCAGACTAGGTTTACAGCCTGCATGAGACTCAATGCCTTTGCCTTCAATAAATACTGGGAGCATTCATGCCTCCAGGAGCAGGTGAAAAGGAGTCTTCAGTACAAAAAAGCCTCTGGCAGCAGCTGTGCTATAAGGTAAATTAGAAATGTCTGCATTTAAATAAAAGAGAGGATAGGGATACAGGAATAGAGAGGGCTTGAACAAGGCAGGAGAGCATAAAAAATACTGTCAGTTAGTATCATTCCAAAGCTGACGTGGCAGAAGGTTGATAAATAAGGGCTAGTCCATGCCTGGTTTCAGGCTAGAAGAGCCTTCACAGAAAACCTTCCATGGCACTTTCCCAAGAGTGTGAATTGTTATTGATAAAGAAGGGGACATATCAAATAGAAACAATAGGGATGGCCTGGTTTTCCTTCAATGTACTGATCTTATGTTTTCACCTATTAATGACTATATATTGCCTATCAATGCTTTCATTTTTAACAGTCATAGGAAATGCAGTTAATTTCAATTATTTCATTTTTGAGCTCCTCTCAACGATGTCTTGATCAATGCTCAGTGACCCACACATGTGTGAGAAGCCAGTTTGTAAAAATTTCTTCTCCACAAACTTAAGATTTGACTGCTGAAAATAACAGTACAATGGAATGATTTGCCTCCTATCCCCCTGCAGAAACTCACCGAATTGAATGGCAGTGCCTACAGCATCTGTGATGTCCAAGTCTAAAGTACTTCATAGAATTACAGAATCACAGAGTGGTTTGGGTGAGAAGGGACCTTAAAGCTCCTCCAGTTCCAACCCCTGCCACGGGCAGGGACACCTTCCACTAGAGCAGGTTGCTCCAAGCCCCTGTGTCCAACCTGGCCTTCAACACTGCCAGGGCTGGGGCAGCCACAGCTTCTCTGGGCACCCTGTGCCAGCGCCTCAGCACCCTCACAGGGAAGAGCTTCTGCCTCAGAGCTCATCTCAATCTCCCCTGTGGCAGGTTCAAGCCATTCCCCTTGTCCTGTCCCTACAAGCCCTTGTCCAAAGCCCCTCTCCAGGTTTCCTGGAGCCCCTTCAGGCACTGGAGCTGCTCTAAGGTGTCCCCTTCAGGAGCCTTCTCTTCTCCAGCTGACCCAGCCCAGCTCTCTCAGCCTGGCTCCAGAGCAGAGCTGCTCCAGCCCTCGCAGCAGCTCCGTGGCCTCCTCTGGCCTCACTCCAGCAGTTCATCAGTATTAAAAGGATTCTGATCTTTTAGAACATCCAAAATAACACTCAGACATTTCTCATGTCTCTCAGACCAACACATGCTTCATTTCACTTAACCTCCTCTTTAGAAGAAAACTGGAAACAGAATTCCAGTTTTCTGATCCAACATTTTTACCTCCTCCACCCCCCAGTATTTAACCGGGATTTTCAAAGCAAACTGAACCATTTCTTGAAGGCAAGTCACTGGTTTAGAATGCTCAGATTTCTTCCTTACCCTTGCACTTTGTCCAGCAATGAGCTGATCATCTTCAGTCTGAATACTTGTTCTGCTTCGGACATCGAAGTCCTCGGTCTCAAAGTCAGAATCATCCAGCTCTTCAGGAGTCTGAGGAAAGAGTAATGCAGTCAGAGTCAAACAACGGAATTCATGGCTCTAAAAAATCAACAAGAATGTTGTTTTCAAGCAGAGAGAATGGAAATTAGTGAAGGTAAAAATTAGTCCATATTTTCAACAAAAAGGTAAATACAGGGACTGTGCCCAGTGTGAGTAGATATGCTTGAGTGCTCATGTTAAACACATCAGGATGCCCCAAATTTCGTACCAGGTACTAAACACCTGAGCTCTGTCAGGTCACGAATGCAGTCAGGGTTTGAAACACAGGAAAAAAGTTCTTGCAAAATGAACAGTATTTTTGCAACTTGGTTAAATGTAAAAGCTTCACTTGAGATGCTGAAGCTAAAATTACACACAGCTCTAAGGCCTGGTTCAAACCCACCGACACCGTCTTTAGTACAATTATGAATCAAAGCACAGACTAAATTAACAACAGCTAAAATGTATCGAAATTTATTCTTATCCCCCAGGAAAAGCTGAAATTTTTTAGCTAGTAAGGGCCAGCTTTTATGCTGTAGGCTAAACACATCTGACCTAGTTCCTGCTTGCCTGGGATTTATTTTTGCCACTGCCACTCTATAGCTGGCAAACTTTTTATAAAGCTTATCAAGTTAAAACACCATATTTGTCAAAATACTACATCTTTGCTTAGAGTGGCACTTCATGACAGTTTTACAGAGCTGGGTCAACAAAGACCTTCACTGATAAATGCAATACATTGTGATTAACAGCTAAGATGCAAATAAAGTCCCCATTCTTCAGCTTTCTTTCCTATCATTTGAATATTACAAACTTGTTTTCCAACTCAGACATCTTGTGATACAGTTAAAATAGAGACAGATACACAAAACAGTTGCCAAAAAGCAAAGGTGAGCATGCTGATAATCAGGACCCAGGATATTTCAGCCACCATCTCCTCTCCATGCCTTGAAGAACAGAGTATGCCTGCAAAATCATCATAAGGACATATACTAATAGTTCACTGTATCAATATTAAAGAAATAATATATATATATAAAAAAAAAAAGACAGTTCTGCTGCATCTTTAGAACCTGTTTATGATTGCCAAGCCCCCTTCTCTGCCCATCCATCCTAAGTCCCCAAAAACCTGGGGTATACAAAGTATAATTCTGCCTTGCAAGCTGTCAAGGACAAAAACTCCTCTGGGGAAGATGAGGGATTGCCTGGGGAGCAGGGAGGAAAAAGCAACAACCTACAGATACAGATTTTAGGTCTGAGAATACACTGCATAAACACAAAAGTTAGGTGTTTGAGTGACTTTTCCCTCTGGTTCCTGTAAAGAACAAGTGCCGCTGGGCAAAGTTGCAAGTGCATCAGCTCATTTGCCCCAGCCGAGCTCAGCAGCGTTCCCCTGCGAGCGTGGTTCCTCTTGTGGGCCAGTTTGAGATAAAGCCCTGGAGAAGCGGAGGCCTGGAATCTCCATTTGGATAGCTCTTATCCTAAATCCATCCTACACCTTACAGCCTTTTGGAGAACAAATACTAGCAATTTAACTTCTTTATAGGTCACTGCTGTGTCACCAGCGTGCTGCCGTTAGCTACTGGCAGCGGCACTAAAGCCATGGCACCCTGACATCAGAGACGTGGCGCGAGGGGCAACATCAGCAGTCCTGGCATCACCACCTCAGCTCATTACTCACAATGTGGAACTGGCAGCCCTGCCTTCATGTCCTGCATAATGAAGACTTCAGCAGGGGGTGAATCAAAGTAGTTTGTCTGCATAGCAGGAAAGCCTTGATATCTTCATCTAACGTTGGTTGTCTATAAATCCCGAGCTTAACTTTGAAAGAAATCATATGGGGAATTGTCAGCTTTTCTTCTGATTTCCCATCTGATTCTTTGCTTTAAGCAGGAAACATGGAAGATACTATTGAAGTCGTTACCATAATCATGTATATTCTGGGGCTGCATTGTCCTTAATCTACTTATCACCAAAATGCATCTGCCATGGTTACCATTCTGAAAGATTAAGATGGTGTCTCTGCAATGCATTTGTTTGAGTCAGAGGAGGAGAAGGGAAAAAAGGAAAAAGGCGTAAGGCCCCTCTGTTGGTTTTTGCTGTGTCTGTCTCCTGACCATTTTTACCATGCTAAGATTCAAGTAATGTGCCCATAGATCAGTCTCAACCAGAACTTTCTTTTCTGCAACCCTTCAATCAACTGCAGGAGCCCTTATGCATCTTCCTTGTGTGCCTCCTACCAGTCTAAGCTGCCTGACCTACCAGAAATTGGGACTCCCAAGTCACACTCACTGCACCTGAAACATGCCAGCACAGGAGAGACAAAGCCTCTATGAACTGCTCCCTGTTTACTGAGGTTAGCCCATTAACGAATTACACGCTCCAGGAACTAGAGGCTAAACTCATCTAAACCCGTTTATGACTAACTAGCATGAATTCTCAAAATTTACTTAATGAAGAGCCATCGGGTTTTATTTCTCAGCTCTCAAACGATCAAAAAGCATCTATAGTTATGAATCTACTTGCTGTTGTTAAATCAAAGGTCACTGATTTCAGCACATTAACAAGCAAGACATTAACATGATATTACAAAGGATGCGTGAAGGGTATTTAGCATCACAACTCTGGTTATCATTGATGCTCAGATCTGTTTAATGAATTTGAATCAAAATGTACTTCTGAGGCACTCCACAGAGTGATTAGGAGTTTTTAAGACTCTGAATGTTAATATGAGCTAAACGCAAATTTCACGCTGTCTGCTCTCAACAGAACTGATGCCTGTCAGCTCAAGAAAGGCACGGAAACAAGTGGAGAAACAGAAAGCTGTTGCAGTAAGTTCTGCTCACCCGGATCATCAGGACAGCTTTCCTGATGTCTCGTATCCCGTCGTACACCAGTCGCGAGGCATCGATGAATTCGTTCTCATCCATGGGCTGAGCAGGGTCCGAACTCAGGGCTTCCACAGCAGCTTCTACTTGCTCAGTAAACCGCGGCATAACTGAATCGAGAACAACAAAGAGCAGTCAGTGCCCACCCCAATGCCACCTTCTGCTATACACTTGAGGTATGTGCCTTGCTGTTAACTATCACTGCAAGCTCTGAAACAGTTCTATTTGAATTCAAAGCATTTGTTACAGAAAGACATCAAAACTGCAGCTCAAGTCTTGGCCCACTGTTTACTCTGCTGCTGTTTGGTCTTTTCCCCTTAGACAGTGAAAAGTTTACACCCACCTTCTAGTGGACAAGGAGAAAATACCTGGAGAAGCAGTCAGAAACTATGAGATAAAATATCAAACATTTGTTTCATGTTCCCTGCAGATGCACATAATTTTTTTGGGGAAAAAATAGCATTACCATCATGAAGCTCAACTTTATCAAGGGACTGGAAGAGGGCAGGTTGCCCTGCTGTACTGCAGTGACTCACTGCACCCTGGGAAGGACATCACAGAGCCATTTACAGTCTGTTCGCTTCTTCAGTGTCACCCTTGATTCTTCATCCAAGTAATTAAAGCAAAGCCAACAACTAATAGTTGGCACAGCACTTACTGAAGAAACCATAATCATTCCTTCCCTTGTGTGGATGGTACCAGCTAGTTCACAGAAAACACCCTCATTTATTGTTTGGGTGTGGTGAACTACAACCTACAATGCTGCTTTAACTGTCATAAAGATACTTCACAAAATTTACCCTAAACAGTGACCCAAAATTTATTCTACTAGGCCAATGTAGTAGATGTAGAGGGCTGGAGCACCTCTGGAGCCAGGCTGAGAGCGCTGGGCTGGCTCAACCTGGAGAAGAGAAGGCTCCTGAAGGGAAGACCTTAGAGCAGCTCCAGTGCCTAAAGGGGCTCCAGGAAACCTGGAGAGGGGCTTTGGACAAGGGCCTGTAGGGACAGGACAAGGGGAATGGCTTGAACCTGCCAGAGGGGAGAATGAGATGAGCTCTGAGGCAGAAGCTCTTCCCTGTGAGGGTGCTGAGGCGCTGGCACAGGGTGCCCAGAGAAGCTGTGGCTGCCCCATCCCTGGCAGTGTTGAAGGCCAGGTTGGACACAGGGGCTTGGAGCAACCTGCTCTAGTGGAAGGTGTCCCTGCCCATGGCAGAGGGTTGGGACTGGATGAGCTTTAAGGTCCCTTCTTCCAATCCAAACCAGACTGGGATTCTGTAATTCTATGAATGTGGCATAAATCAGTCTGGATCCTGAACACTCACAGAGCCTGGTAGAATACTGCAAGATGTCCAGCACAACTTTCAAGCTCTAACTCACTTCTTAGGATTCATTTATGGGTGTTTTAGCGTTCTACAGCTCAAGAACAGCAAGCACGCCCAGGGAGACTTTGTGCACTGCTGAATTTTAAGCCAGTCAACACAGCAAAATTATGTTTCTCATTTTGCAACAGCTCTGCAAATAACTCCCACTAATTTTCATTATAGTGTGTCAATGGAGTCTTTAATAGATTTCACAGGTACATTAGTACCTGGTTGCCCAGGCATTTGCAAGCAACATGAATTTAGGGATCTTGGAATTAACCGACTCTTACCTGTGTTGGACAGTAACTTCGTGGCTTCCAACACCTTCTCAGTGTAGACTCCAGGTTCGTAGTTATCCATTTCCGAAGTGACAACATGAATGACTCTAGCAGCACGTCCTCGAATTGCTCCAGCTGTGCGGTCTAAACCATCAACATCTTTTTCTTGGAGAGCAATGACACATTTGTTTACATCTTCTAAAATATGATTCTCTGGTGGTAAAAGAAGGAGGATTTAGATGGTAATATCTTCTTTTCTGCTCCAGTCATCAGCATGGCAATTTCTCAGTTTGTGACCTGCTCTATAAAACCTCCAATGAGATACTGTAAAGCATTAATTTTTAAGCTTGCTACAACCAGCAAACAGCTGCCCTTCCAAACTAGGTGTCAAAAAGCCATCAGTGCCATCCACGCTTCTTGCCTCTGTTTATCCTTGATTTTACTGACAGAAAAGCTGAGTTCAGCTGAATTCTCCCCTGATGTGTTTCTTCCCATTTCTTCTCCTGGACTGCCAAAGTCCTTATTCCAAATACTTCCAAACCACTCCCCCATCATTCCACCTGCATGGGATGATGAGGCACCCTCCCCTGCGCCACACCTCAGCCACCCAATGCTCTAATAGACTCGGGCACTTGTGGCATGTTTCTAGCTTCCTACATAGTGTTTTCCCACAACCACACACATACCATCAGAGAATATTAAATTGTTAGTCCTCCCCTCAAATGTAAGACATAACATATGCAGTGATCTATGCAGAAAGCGTTCCAGTGACAGAGTACTCATTGCCTCTTGAGAAAACATACAATAAAGCCAAGACCTCTGTTTGTAATTTACTTTTTGAACACACATTTTCTTTTTGACACAGAGATATTTCCCTCTATCATGTCCAAGAAGCTCACAATAAGTAAAAACCCCCTAAGAGATTTCCAAAAATGCCTGAAGAAGTTGGGATCCTGATTGGGGGAAACGTACCCAAAAGGTCTTCCAGACTCTGTTAGGGACCTCTTTAGCATATCAGTACCAACGCTTTGATACTGCCATCCAACAGCAGCATTTGGGCTGCTTAGTAAGAAACCAACTTGGAAGCATTTCTGCTCTGTCACTTAAAATAGTTTCCAGCGTTACTTACCATTGACTTAATCATGCTGCACTGCCAATTCGTGCCAC